CTTCCATAAACCTACAGGGTTTAGATACCTCTTCTAGGATTCCTATAAATGTTTACCAGACTTCTGAAAAAGAAGAAGATCATCAGAGTATCCAATCTCCAACCTACTCTTCCTTAAATGAGTCTTATGATGTTATCTCATAAATTCATTATTGATAAGGAAACCCTTAGGAAAGATTTCTACTCTGAGGAATGGAAACCTCAAAGAGAGTGGTTCTTTCAAAAGTATAGGGGAAAAGACAGATCTGATATCCAAGAGAAATTCTACCAATTTCTCAAAAAAGTCAAACATAATATCCCATTAGTTATAACTCATTCTACAATCCAGATCTTAAAAGTCTTAACCCCAAAGGCTTTTGGGAAAAATCTGAATTCTTATAAAAAGTTTTCCCAACCTTTTGATCCAGTAGGATACAATTACTGGGATTATATAGATGCATGGACAAGAACATTCTGGTTCCAAAATAAGCTTAACCGACATTCTTGGTTGATATATTTCAAGAAGAATCAGAGTTATGATTTTCCAAATTGGTTTCTCCAATGGTGGGACTATTTTGGGGCAATCGAAGAAATCCTTCCTACACCTGTCAAAGAAGGATACAGAATTTATAAGGGAAGATATTTGCAAGAATCAAGAATTCCAGCAGACTTCAAATACTTCTCTGACTTTGCCTTAGCATGGGTATTCTCATGGCAGTATAGATATGGCAAGGCAGAAAATGAAGATACTCTCCCACTACTTCATAGATATTCCTTTGTGAAATGATGAATCAATTTAATGCTGATCATGCCGGTCCAGAAGGTGTTGCTGAATATTTTGGCAAGAATCCAAAATTATTAAATTTAGCAGATCCAGCAACATTTCAATTTCTAAATCAAAAATCAAAAATTGCAGCATTTTTATCAAGCTATGATTCAAAAGAAAAGATGAAGAAAAATTTGCAAGATGTTCTTCTTCTCTTACAAAACCAAGAAGAAGGAGAATCTTCTACACAACAAGATCCCAATATAGAAAAAATGTATCAAAATGAAGATGACTGCTTCGGCATTGACATCCAAGAGCTTTAAAACCGATACTGTAGTAAATAGTTCCAGTTATCAACCGGAACTGCAGAAATAGTACTCAAAATTTTTCTTTAAAAGGAGTCCTCGACCATGTTGTGAGGCACCCTTAAATTAAGTAAGATTAGAGAGATTTAGAGAGAGAAGCTCTAAGAGAAATAATCCTTTGTAAGCTTTCCTCTTTGAGATCTTTTCAATAAAATTTGCTGTTTCAAATTATTTTTCTCTCTTCTCCCTCTTAGCCGGTTCTGTTCGGACTACCGTCGTCCGGCTTTCTTCCCTTCTCTCTTTACTAGATCTGTGCCGGTTAAACCGTCGTTCTAGTTTCTTATGTTTTAAAGCATCATTTACATTCTGCATTTTAAAGATCTGCACTTCATTTAGTAGTCCTGCTACTGCCTACTTTCCTTTCAGTCTGTTATTTGTTCTTTGTTTGATCCACTTCGGGTTATCTGGTGTATATATATATATATATATATATATAAAGCTATGATCTCTTAATATCTTGCATCAAACTTAGATACCTACATCACTAATAATTTTTTTTATACACATGATTGATCGATCCAACTGTTTAATTATTTTATATTATTTTTATAATTATATATATAAATTTTACATAATTTAGATATTTATAGATATGTTATCTAAAATTTGATATTCACTTGTATTTTAAAAATATATTATATGATAAAATAAAGTAATGAAATGAAATATTTATTGATTTTATTTTGTAAGAAATATTATAAAATTAATTTATTCAATAAAAACCTTCAAGTTAACTATTGAATTGATTAATCTCACATTATATAAAAAGTTATTTAATGATAAAAAATCTGAATTTGACACATAAATCAACGATTTAAAGTTGTTAGACTTTATATTTAAAATAATCAATTGATCAAAGATAAAATAAAAAATAAGAGTTAGGAAGAAAATAATCTAATCATTTTTTTTCTTAAGCTTCAAAATTTTAGTTATTATGAAAAAGCTATTTACTATGACATTGATATTTTCAACGTGAGATCTATAGAGCCTTTGAATTTTCAAACTAGAACGGTTAACTCTTGTGGTACGGTTCTGGTAGAGTTCTTATCAATCAATCTCATAATATTCCAGTATTTCATTCCAGCACTAAACACTTAATCTATTATTTACTGAAATGTTATAAACAGACCCCTAAAGGTGCAGCACATTACTGCAAAAGATCAGTGGCAGACATTTTGACCAAAGCATTGTCTACTTGGATCCCAGGAACGATGACAAAAGTGTTTTGACCAATTATACATTCTGTTAGAAATGACATTTTCTATTAGGTTCTTAGTTCACTATATATAGTTGTAAGAAATCTCAGTTTGAGATCACATGAACAGAACATAGATTTTAGTTTTCAGTTTCATAGTCTTAGTTTCTCTCATGTTGTCCTTCAACTTTGTCATTTTCCATGACTTTCTGTTTGGTTCTTAAAGACTAACATATTGCAACTTTATCCCATAAGCAAGATTTTTACGTCAATACTGTAAGTTTTAACATTTCTTCCTAAGTTTCTGTTGTTTTGTTTTTATTTTTTTTATTTTACTTTGATCAATTGTCATCGGTATAGACCAACATTATGTTTTAATATTTCACTTCCTAAGTTTTAATATTTATTTATTTTTAAATTAAATACACCAACATTATGTTTTAGCTATACCATTATAAAATTACATTGTCATCGTGGTATAGATTCGTTTCATAATCTACAAACACGGAAAGAAACCTATACAAATATGCTCACATTAAAATAAAGAACTTTTTATCAAAGGAAAAACAATCATCTTTGATAAGTTAGCAAAACATACCAAACTTTTTCAAAACAGCTTTTATCCTTCTAAAAAACCTTTTCATCTCAAAATAAATCCATGGAAACATGATCCGATTTGATTTAAATTGAATTAAATGGAATTCATTTAGAAATCAATTATTATGTTTGTAACTCAGCACACAAACTAGGATATGAATAGATTTATGGATCAAATTTGGAATTCCTAAAACATGAAATAAACTATTTTATTATAAGAATTTTATTTTATTACCCATATGATATAAGTTAGGTAAATGAACTAAGAAGAGTGAAATGATCAATTCAAATATTAGTGATTGAAATCCCATCAAATGCACTCAAATCTAACCAAATTTAAGTGGATTTCTAAATACACAACTTCAATCCAAAAGGTTTTCAAAATCAATTTCTAGAATTTGTGATTGCGAACATACTGAATTGAAATAAGGAAAGGATGTAAACTAACCTGGTAACAGCCAACGACCAACAGTGAAGAATATATTGGATGGCAAACGCAGGAGTGGAACTTATCGCCACTACAACTCATGAACACATTCCCCTTCACTCCCACTTCCAAGAGTCCAAACCCTGACAGAGTCCTCATTGACAGATGCCAAGAACTCCCCAGAAGGGTTCCAACACACAGAATGTATTGATTTTGTATGTCCCTACAATCAAAGTATAATTAGTAATGCTCAAGATAGACAATGAAAAAGACAAAAACTAGAGAAAGAACACAAAATTAGAGTTTTAGTCCTCAACCCAAAAAGAATTTTCAAGATTCAATGTTGTTTAGAAATAAATAAAATATAAGATGTATTTGATTCATATATAAAGAATTACTAATGTTTCTTATCTTAGACATCCCTCCAGCGAAAATAGGTAGCTAGAAGGGATGAAGAGTGGAAGACTCAATACAGACAGACTCAAGAAGAATTGCACAGCTAATTGAAAGCATTTATCTTAACTCCAACAAAGAAACAAAAATATTACTCAAACCAACCTTTAGTGGAGAGCAGATAAGATCATCTTTATTAGGGTGAAAATCTAGTTGACATAACAGATGAAGAATGCCCCGTAAAGATGCAAAGTGAATTTGTATTCGAGTTGTTTAACCTTTAAAAATTTGTTTATTCTATTTGATAAACAGGTAATTCTATTAAACTACAAATTGCACGTTTGAACACATTTGTTTGTAAATTAAAGTATATTATTTATTGAAATAAAACTTTAATTTTGACATGAAAGTAGCACTAAATTTTTTTTATATTACACCTTAATGTTCCTAAAATTATCCCTTTCACTTAGAAGATAAAACTAAATAAAGATGGCATGTTTACATTTTTTTTTTTTTTCAATAATAGTTAGTCCCACAACACTTGCATCATGTATTGTAATTGAAACTTAGATAAGAGAGATAGTGGCAATCTCCAAAACACGGTATGTTCACTTAAAATATATATACAAAATAAAAACAAAAAGACCTTGAAAGTTTCAAACAAATTAAATATTAATTATTTGTTTGTTGTTACTAAAGTAAAACCTCATACAACTAGACAAATTAACTATGTTTAGTAGAAGAAAAGACCATTAACAATAATGGGAAGAGCCCTAACCATCAGATGTAGAAGACGATAATATTGACTGACTGCAAGAGAAGAAAAGGGTTAGTGAAGTTATAAGGGACAGTAATGGGTAAATAAAAATGAAAAGAAGGATGGAAATAAAGATAAAACAAAAAAAAAAAAACAAACAAACAAACAAAAAAGAAGAGGAGAAAAGGAAAATTTCTCACTAAGGAAAAAAAAGAAGCCTAGGAATACAGTAACCGCCTTAGAGGGAAAGCAACGTGCATGGTCAGGTTTTTGTTTACCACTAGAATTTTACCTTCTATCTATAACATCTATTTTACCACAAGCCCCATCTGTCATTTTCTATAACATAAAGTTAAAATCATATTGAGTTTCAATAGTAAATACGTTTATTCTTTTTTTATATAATAATCAACTGCTATATATCTTCTTTCTAAATTATGAACATTAGCATTTTGAAGAATTAATTATTCTTTTATCATGTCAAGTAGTACCTTTTTACGTGTATTTTTCCTTTTTGTTTCAATTTAAAATTAGTTAAAATTTTGAATTTTATAATCCATTTTTTATTTTATTTAATACAATAGAACAATATTAATAATAGTTATTATACTTGCTATCTTTTAAATATTAAATATTACAAAATATTTTTTTCAACTTTTCTTTCTTGTGTACCCTGTTAATTTGAACCGTACAACATCAAAATCTACTTGTTTTTTCTTCTCTTTCTTTTCCTCTTACTTCCCAAATATAAGTATAACATTCGGAAAGAAAGTACAGAACATTAATAGCCAGTGTGGATGATACAAGAGCAGAAATCTCCAAGAAAACAATAATGAAACAGGAAATAACAAGGATTACAATATTACAAGGGTTAGTATCTATGGTTACATTGAAAATCAAATATACCAAATGACAAAAGGGGAAGGGTGGGTTGATCAAGCAACACAAAAGGGAACATAAACTACAAGCATGTTATAAACACTGATAAAACAAACTGTATTGAACAACACACAACCAGGTCACTTCCAAAGCTTGACAAACTTGTCATGACTGGCTGAAGCAACCAAGCCATTTACAGTTGAAACGGCCAAAGCAGCAATAAGACCATCGTGAGCAGATAGAGTCATTGTCTTGTTTTCAGTCATGTTCCAAAGCTCCAATGACTGCATATCATGGATCAGATTTAATTACCATTTGTGAACGATGAGTCATTAAACATAACAAGTTATAATCAGGTCAAAGCTCCAAAACCGTATATCGTAAGTTTCTGTTGTTTTGTTTTTATTTTTTAATTTTACACTGTCAACATATTTTAGATTAAAATACACCAACATTATGTTTAGTTACACCATTATAAACTTACATTGTCATCATGGTATAGATTCATGTCATAATCTATTGAGTTTACATCCAATTGAGTTAACAAAGCAAAGGAAAAATCACATTTTCTCAAAAAATGACACCATTTGAAATTAGAGCACCACTTTTCTTCCCTCTTCACAATTAGGGTGCCAAAACCACATTATCATTATATGATATGGTTATTTAAATATGATTATTGTCCTTTTCTTCATTATTACGACTTTTTAAATATTATTTTTGGATGAGGTAAACTCTTACGAGTTTATTATTCGAGTTGACAAACATTCCATGAGTTTACATAAACTCTTTAGTTTAACAACCTTGTAAGAAATTTATTAGTTGGAGTTTGTTTTATATTTAAAATAATTGATTGATGGGGATAAAAATGAGAAAACAATAGTTAGTCAGAAAATAATTCGATAATTTTAATCATTAGTTTGAAATTTTTGTTATGATGAAAACCATATCTCCTTTGTTAAAAAAATTATCAAATTAAAAAATAAGGGCATGTTTGGTTTGCGGAAAAAAAATTTATTTTCATATTTTGTTTACATTAGGTGTCACGTGGTTCTGTTTACATTATGTTAGATTTGACATTTTTCAGTTAGGTTCTTACTTCATTATATGTAGTTTTAACAGATCTCAGCTAAGATCACTTGAACAGAACATGGATTTCAGTTTCAGTCATGGTTATCATAATTGAGCTTCTTCAACTCAAAAGTATTAAACTCAGCAGTTTAGGGTTGGAGATTGATTTCTATATCTTTGGGTTGCTGTGCCACTGTAATTGAGCTCTCTGTTGCTATGTTCGGTTGTTGTATGCTGTTTAGTGATGCTTTATTTTAATTTTTTTTGCAAAAAACAAGTTCATGGGTGTTTGCTGCAAAATATCTACTATTTTCTTTTATGATTTGCTTAAAGCATTACTTTTGTTTAGTAAAAAAATTATGTTATGAAGCTTATGACATATGTGTTGTATTCAGACTGAATCTTTAGTTTAAGTTTTATTGAATGTTAGTTGTGATTAAAGTTTTATTTTTCTACTTTATTCTATTTTATTTTAAGAATTTTATTCAATTAGCCTTATGATAGGTAAGGTAAATGAACTAATGGTAGTGAAATCATCAATTCAAATGTTTATGATTAAAATCCAAAATTTCTAATGCACTCAAATCTAACAAAATTTGAGTGGCACTCAACTTAAATCCAAAAGGTTTTCAAAATTAATTTCTACATTATAACAATCAACACAAAGAATTTCATTCACAATTCAAGTCAATTTCTAAAATATGTGATTCCAAACATACTCATAAGGAATTAAAATAAGGAAAGGATGTAAACTAACCTGGTAACAGCCAACGACCAACAGTGAAGAATATGTTGGATGGAAAACGCAGGAGTGGAACCTATTGCCACTACAACTAAGCTCATGAACACATTCCCCTTCACTCCCACTTCCAAGAGTCCAAACCCTGACAGAGTCCTCACTGACAGATGCCAAGAACTCCCCAGAAGGGTTCCAACACACAGAATGTATTGATTTTGTATGTCCCTACAATCAAAGTATAATTAGTAATGCTCAAGATAGACAATGAAAAAGACAAAAACTAGAGAAGGAACACAAAATTAGAGTTTTAGTCCTCAACCCAAAAAGAATTTTCCAGATTCAATGTTGTTTAGAAATAAATAAAATATAAGATGTATTTGATTCACATATAAAGAATTGCTAATCTTTCTTGTCTTAGACATCCCTCCAGCAAAAACAAATAGGTAGCCAGAAGGGATGAAGAGTGAAAGACTCAATACAGACAGACTCGAGAAGAATTGCACAGCTAATTGAAAGCATTTATCCTAACTCCAACAAAGAAACAAAAATATTACTCAAACCAACCTTTAGTGAATATCGACATGCTTGTGTCTCCACATCAAGTATAGAGACAACATTATTTTCAGCTGCAGCTAGGTACCTCCCTAGACGAGGTTGAAATCTCATCTGAGAGGTGCCACCCTAATCAGTAAGAAAATGTCAGATAAGAAAACTAAAACGAATACTCAATCACTTCAATACACAAGCCATAAAACAGACACGCATATAACATAAGACAACTAAAATTCTACCTGTGCGACTGTAGGACAACTGCCATTTTTAATGCTCCAATATCGTATCTGACCGTCAACATCACAAGAGCAGATAAGATCATCTTTATTAGGGTGAAAATCTAGTGACATAACAGGTGAAGAATGCCCCGTAAAGGTGCGAAGTGAATACCCAGGCTGCATTTGTAATTACATATCAGCTAAAGTAGAATGCAAAGAAAGAAACAGAAACTCACAGTCAATCAAAATCCAGCAATCATATTTAACATATAGATCAATAGAACATAAGAATTCACAGTGCAATTCAAGCTACAGTTACTAAATCTATACTTGTAACTTGCTAGCCAGGTTACTTTAAATAGATTTAAATCTAAAGAAATAAGTTCTCAAAAGTAGTATACTATTTAGAGTAAAATAAATGAAATCAACTAACATTCTCAACATCCCAAACCCTGACAGTTTTGTCATATGAAGATGTTGCAAGACGAGGCATGCTTGGACTGAAACGGACATCAGTGATTAAAGATACATGCTCTTCAAGAGTAGCTTTCTGTTTTAGAGAATCTGTGAACCATAAAACAGCCTGCACTATGAGAGAATCAGAGCAAATGTCACATTCTATATATAAAAATATATAGTAATAAAGAAATTCCTAATTTTGTTTTTCAATTTCCAAGCAGGTCAGTTGCATAGTGCGAATTTCTGGAAACCAGTTGAACAGCAAAAGAAATAAACAAAATGCCTTCCAGAGCAATGAGCCGACTAACCTTTTTGTCATGGCCACCACTTGCAAGCAATTTCCCATCAGAAGAGAAATGGCAACAGACAACCTTGTTAGTGCTTGCACGTACAGAATTCATTTCAGAAAATGTTAAACCTGAAAATAAAGCAAATCCATGGCCTCAGTTTTGGCATGAAGGCCTTTTTTATGCAAGTCAATAAATTAAAGAGAAAACAATCCACCTTTGTATTCAAAAGTTTATAGCCCTTTTAAACTCTATTATTGAGAAAGTATGGCTACTGCGCCATAAATACACATGAAAAGAAGGCATAATGAGAAGAGTAACATGACAAGAAAGTGTTGCTGGAGAAATTCGGTTTTACAAGAAAGGAAAATGAGATAAAATTAAATATTCCAAAGTGTATTTGTATTTGAGGTACATAAATTTGTGGTTTGTCGTGACAAGAAAGTGTTGCTGTTTAAGATTTGTAGTTTGTCATGAGCCAACTATCTCAAAAGCTTAAGTTGTACAAAGAAGAGATATGAATGGCTATATTTAACTTAGCCTGCTCCATTGCACAACAAGAACCCTCACTTGAAGCTTGAACAATGCTTAGACCCACCCGGTAACTGAAATTTAACTTCTTATTCAGAAGAATGGAGAATAAGTATCAAACTCTAGACCATATGGTAATTGAGGCCTTGACACCGTGCAAAGAACCAAGGATCCTCAAAGCTTAAAATATTAGGTGAAGGTAAATTTTTTACCATGGTTAACTACAATCTACCACTAACAAACAAGTTATCCATAAAGAGACTGGATACTTTTGTATTAGAGCAGGGGAAATTTATCACATACATACACTTGAGAAACTCTTACAAAGGGATTGCCAGATTATTCTATGACCAATAAAAACAATGGTGTTTACTGCACCTTTGCTTACATCCATACAACGACCAACAGTATCTCTAGGGTCTGTATCATCATGGGATAAAAAAGACTCAACATTGTCATCAAGAGATCCATCCTCCACAAAACGGTCCATGTCAGCCTGCAATTCAAAATCCTTATTATCATCCCACTTGCAAAATGGAATGGCAATGAATCTACGTGCAAGGAATCTATTATTTCTTCTGTAATAGATAGAGACACTTACCAACTGGTTTGAAGGTGACGTGAGAGTTCCACCCCCATCAGAGCCAAACATTAAAGGCTTTGAAGAACTACCACTATGAGGTAAAGCAGGCATGGACATCACATCACCAGGTGTATGTGTTGAGGGAGTTGAGGGTGCTGAACTAGGAGAAGGGCCAGCTGTATTTGCTGTTCCTGAACTATTGGCAGGACCAGAAGATGCAGGCTGTTTTCTCTTTCTCCCAGTCTGATTTTTTGAAACCTTGAAGTTTGTTCAGAAGAAACCATGTTAGGAACCTATTTTAGACTACAGTATAAATACAACAGATCAAGTGTCAGCCAAATTCAGGGATAGAAATTTATGCTCACGAGAGAAACAAAATAAATTAAAGAGATCAACCATGAAAGTAAAGACACATGCTGACTTACACATAGACAGCAAGAGGCAAAAAGCGTGACAAAGGAAATTGATTATGAGCATCAATTGACTTCTAGTTTTAACAATGATAAATCAACGGAAAAGGTAAAGGTTATTTTTAATGAAGCAAGTCAAGCAACTACCTATCCGCTTACAAAATTCAATAAAATGAATGGTTATTTCAGAATATTTAACAAAAGAACCTATTACATACATCAGAAATTTGTTAGTGACTATATGTTAATGGTAAAGAGGTTAACCCCAATAATATTCCTATTGAGGTTTGGAAATGTTCGAGAGAATAAGGAATTGAATGGTTTGCTAAGCTCTTTAATAAGATTTTGAGATCTAAGAATGTTAGTTGAACGGAAGGAAAGCATTTTAGTCTCTTTATAAAAGAACAAGTGTGATATTCAAAATTGTGAGAACTATAGAGAGATTAAACTTGAGTCACATTATGAAGTTGTGTAAAAATGTAATTGAGAATACTAGAAGAAGAAACTAGGAATTTGGTTTTATACCAGTTAAGTCTACAACAAAAGCTACTTATCTTTTATGAAAGCTTATGAAAAAGTACAACTACAAAAAAAAAAAAAAAGGATTTAAATGGGGCATTATTGACTTGAATAACATATATGACTATGTATTAAGAGAAATATTATGGAAGGCCTTAGAAGAGAAAATGACTTGTGTAGCATATATTTGGACTATACAAAACATATATGAGGAGATAACTTCATATGTAAAAACTTTTGGAGAAGTATCTAAACACTTCGCTGTAGGGATAAGTTTACATCAATGCTCTATCTTGAGCCTCTATTTAACCCATAGTAGTCAATCCCAGATAGCAACGAGAGCGGCCAACCCCAAAAATGCTATAGTAGAATAGTGGATAATGGGATGACCGCTATTTTGAAGACAATCAAAATAGAGAAAGAAAATAAATCAAAGAGTGGTCAGTCACTGAGCAAAACTCTAATGTAAATGGTCTTGCTGGAAAAATGTCTTATTGGAAATAGCTTGAACCAAAAAACATCTCTGCTCATGTTAAAAATAAGTTGGGTTTCACCAAAGAGAAGATGATCGAAACTTGGCCAAAATTGGTGACTTGCACTAAAAAGTGACACCAGAGATGGAGAATAAAACAAGAGAACAAGCGAATGAGGTAAGGATACAGGGTTCGATCTTGACTCACAAAGACAAAGAAGAACATCACAATATAAAAAAGGGGCAAAATCCCAAGATTGCTCCCCTTAAAAAGAATTCCAAGTTTCAGGGGGGGAGGGGGGGAGGGGGGGAACTAGTCCTTTTGCCCCTGTTTGACATGGGGGCCACAATTTTCCCCTTTCACAGCCATGAATTACGATGCAATAGCCACTACACTGAACCACAACACGATGACCCCAGAATCACGACGGAATGCCGCAAAGCTCCCGCTCCTTTGTGATTGCACCACTATTGACTACTATGGTTTAACCTAGTCTAAAATGTACTTACAAGTAATATAAAAGATTATTCCTAAGTAAATGTTTTTTGTTAATGACAGAATTGGTTGAGAATTCCAATAAACAAGTTAATACTAAACTTGCGTTATGAAAAGAAACTTTCAAATCTACGAGTTTTCACTAAAGCAAGAGCAAGACATGGGAGAAGAAGATTGGATATAAAGATCGGAGATGACAAAGATGGAGAAGATCGGAGATGAAGATGACAAGAAGTTGGTAGGAAATGGTGACTCTCAATGTCACACCAAAGAAGTACAAGGAACCGAAAGCATGTCACACCAGAAATGCAAGAGAAACAAAAGGGGAGGAATTGTTAGGGCTCAACAAGGGAGAAGATATCAGAAATGCAAAAAGGAGCAAAATCTCAAGATTGCCCCCTTAAAAGTCACACAATGTTTAGAAATGGAGGGTACAGTAGGGATTTGACCTAGGAAATGAAATAGCAGCCACAATGGCCGAGATTTGCTCTGTTCTTGGCCACAATTTATGGCACGATGACCGTTACATTGAAATGTGATACAACAACAGGATATTGGCACCCTGCCGCTCTGCTCCACACCTTCAGGCAGCAGCCGCAATTGACTACTATGAATGTACATAAACCTTAATTAAAAGTGCACACAGTAACCAAACATAAAACAAAATCAACTCTTATGATGATTGAATTATTTTGTTTTTCATTTCAATATTAAATATTTTGACTAATACTTTCTCTTAAAAGTCCATAGATAATAATAATATGTAATAGAAGAGATTTGTCTATCAAATAATAAACTGATATGAAATCCAAATTAAATTTAAATAAATTACAGAATAACTTAAATTTTGTACATCAGAAATTCCCTAGTCACTCACTATGTCAAATTTTCAATAGTTGTGACTTGTTCTCAAATATGCATAGGATAGTGGCAACCATAAAAGGACTGACCTGATCGTTTCCTCTGAAGGAGTGTGACATGCTACCATCCACATTGACACTACCACCACCACCCCCTATTTTATCAGGCTGATGCATGTTATGATTGGAAGTCTGAGATTGTTGATTTGAAAGAGTATGCTGTTGAAGTTGCTGCTGTTGTGGATTGGCATTCTGCTGTTGTTGATGCTGTAACTGAGCCAGTTTCAACTACACGAACAAATACTTTCAGAATATGCAACTCATGACAATTGCAGCAACTCCTAGGAATTTATAAATGGGACACATGAAAAAATAATGCAAACATAAAAGATGGAAAGATAATTACAAGAGAACAAGCACCTTCATTAGCATATCTGTATCATTACGGGGAAAAGTAGGGCCACCTGCTTGAAGAGGTGATCCAACATTTGATACTACATCACCAACAGGATTCGAAAGACCATCCTTACTTACACCCATATTTCTACTATTCAGCAACATTCTGATTCTTCTACTATCATCACTGGTAGATGGAGATGCCAAATTTTGAGTTGCTAGCATTAGCTGTTGCTGATGCTGTGCTGTCAACATTGGAAGTTGATGAAAAGGCTGTGGGGCCTGTATGAAAGGTTTCTGTTGTTGAAGTAGACCAGAACGTAGTTGCTCCAAGCCCTAATAAGGAATAGAAAAATCTAAGTACATAAGCTTAACAACTGGATTGTTTTGATTTATTATTAAATGATGTTGAAGTCACATAGTCAGTAGGGTGATTGCTAGAGACTTCAGATAACAACAGACCACTATTTCTGTCAGACGAGGGAGGTTTTGTAGGGTTAACAAGAACTACTTTTGCCACTTGGTAATGACTCAAGTAGTATCGGCAGGATATGATTAGGGTAAAGATCATAGGATTAATTCCCATGTACAACATCAAAACAACAGAGGATGGCTACATCCTAACTCTCCCACACACTGCAAATAGAGTCCAGTACACCATACTGTTGAAGAATATTATTTACCATTTCAACAATGATCAAGTTAAGAAGTTTTGGAAGACATGATTTTACCCATTAATAATAATATTTAATTCAAAATAAACATTAAAATGAAAATAATACTCACTGTGAGAGGCCACCCTTTCAAAGTCAAATTGTTGCTACCTTGATTTGGCCCTAACACAAAAAAAAATCCTGTTAACTCAATTTGTGTACAAGAATAATGATAAAACATCTTAGCGGATTTAACATTAGATCCCAAAATATCCTCAACCAACAAAGTGACCAATAAATTACAAAGATCCCACTAGATAGTAAACAAAACCCCTAACAAATGCTTGCAAATCAGCTTTCAAAATTAAAAAAAAAAAAGTTACATTGAAGTAAGGAGATGATAAAAACAATACCAGGCATTGCCATCAACGATCCTTCCGGACCCGCAGCTCTGGGATTTAAAACAGGATTAATCTCACTCTTTATATCCTGATTCCAACAGGCAAGTCAGGAAAAAACAGCTGATAAGAAATATACTAAGAGATAATGAGATTACTTTAAAAAAAATAGTATACCGGAGTAGACCCTGGTAATTGCTGACTACGAGCTTGAACTTGTGGAGACATTGCACTAGCAGAACCATGCAAAACTTGCCTGAAATCAAGAAATCCAGTTCTAACAACGTCGACAACCATAGCTATAAACATTAAATACCAGATACTAATATACTTAATGGATAGATATTTCAAAAAAATTAAAATTAAAAAAATAAAGAGAAAATAGCTATCAATTCTTCAAGGTCATGGATGAAGCAGGCCCATTTCAAATGAAGTCCAACAACTCCTGCCTCTAGAGAAGAAATCTGGCTTCTACATTGTTTACCGTGCAAAATATCCTTTTTTTTTGGGCCTCACATTGATGAAATAAGATCCAACTCATGTAATGTTCAGATCAAACTTATATTAGCTAAGTCATGGACTAAACAAGCAAAACTACCTTCTTTTTCATGCATATATTGTACTGAATTAAAGACTAAAACAAAAGGCAATAATAACTAAGTTCTAGAAAAGATCACCCTGAAGGCTGGCCAGCAGCTGCTGATGACTTCAATATTGAGGCATGATTTGGGTCCAAGAGTTGGTCACCAAATCTTTGCTGTACAAAATACAATAAGATAGTTATGAATATATGTCATAAAAGAAAATATTAGGATGTATAATGCAAGTGAATAAGGACTGTTATTAGTCATTAGTTAGTTCAGTAGTTAGTTGCACTAGTCAGTTAGTTAGTTAGGAGATTTTGGCTATAAATAGGAGAAATGAGATTGGGTAAGGTTGTTGGTTAAGGTTATTGGGTGACATTGATAGTTTGTAAAAGTGAAAGGAGAGATCCTTTGTGAATGGGAAACCCTTGAGGAGAATTTTATTCTTCATTTTCTGTTCTGTCCTTCAATAAAGTTCTGTTTCTTCAATTCCTCCTCTCTAGTTTCCATTTTATTTACTTTGGTTCTTAACAGAGAAGTAGTTCATCTTAATAAAAAGGCAACCAGAACATATCCCTACCTTCATTGCTGCATCTTCCAAAGAGTCCCTTTGATGGGGCAGTTTCAACCTGTCCTCATACATCTTTGTTGCTAATGCATTTGCCGTGCTAGGGTTTCCAACTAACCCATTCGTACCACCATTTAAAAGATGTGCCCTATCCCTACTCTGCTGTTGCTGTGGTGGTGGCTGTTGATGTTGTGGCGGTGGTTGCTGTTGCTGTTGTTGCTGCTGCTGCTGTTGCTGCTGCTGCCTCTGTAACATCATCTGTTGCATTTGCATGTGTTGTTGCTGCTGCTGCTGCTGTTGTTGATGTTGTGACTGCTGAGACTGTGGCTGCTGCTGCTGTTGCTGTTGTTGCTGCTGCTGCTGCTGTTGCTCTCTGGCCTTAATTAATTGTGTCTGCAAAGAGAGTTTCACATACCATAAACTTCAAGCAGTATCTCAATTTGTTTTCTTCCCTTGGTAATTCCTTAGTCAAATTGTACAACCCAGCATGGCAACAATTTTACAAAGGCAGCATAAATAATGAATAATTAGATAAATAGCTATATCTTGCTGAGCTAGTTATCCAAATTGAAATTTCTTATTCCTAGGCCAAATTTAATAACAATCGTATATACTATAAATGTCTGCAACTCAATAAAGCAAGCATAGCCAACCTGTATGAATCAGATTTCCTGTTTAGCACCAAAATTAACATGCAAAGGCCTCTCCAAGACATAAATTCATCATGATACAAATTGATTAAACAAAAAAAAGTCTGAAGATGAAAAGGAAAAGTAGCCTGTCATCACAAATCAGAGAGATATTACTAACCAAGTGAGGAACAAGAATTTACAATGGGTCAAGATGCCTAATAAACCTAGAGACTCATCAAGCGGTTTAGTATTCAACTTCTCAATTTTTCTTTTCCTAGATTTGTGTAAATAAGCGGTTTAGAGGACAACACAAAAACAGTTTTCTGCGTGCAATTTATGACTTTATGTAAGTAAAATGAAAACATCAAAATAATTTTTAAAAAAAATCATAATTACAGGTAGACAAATAATCACAGGCTCAAAGTGGATGTTTTCTAAAGTCGCACTGCCATCCACCAAGTCAGCAGCCAGTAATTAATGAATAAAGATATTCTTACACTATCTTAGTAAAAATTTATTCTAAAGAAAAGATCCCAACTTTCCATAACAGCAAAACTAAACAATGAAAGAAAGACACAGCAAACTAAATCATCTCTTAATTAGGAGGCACAATTTGGAAGTTATAATCAATTGAATGAATAAATTTCCTAATTGAACACGCTAACATATACTATGAAAGTTAATCAACAGCCAGTTCACCTCAATGCAACTTTTTCTTTGCTGAACTTCTAGCACAGCCATCCTAGTCAGATTTAGCATGCCAAAAGAAGAAAAGTATATACACACACACACACACAAAAAAGGTAAAATTTTCTCCAAACCAACCTCGATATAAGATGCAGCAACCTCTGAGTGTTTCTCATTAGTCCTGGCAATAAATATGTCCCAGAAAACCGACCACCACTCGAACAGAAACCCTCCAGGGGCATCAATAGCTGCAATCCCACATTACCATCACCAAAAGCAAGCAAAATAATAAAATGGCCAGAACAGAAACATCAAATCAAACTACTTCCTTAGTAGATAACTCACCAACAGGGTCGGAGGACACTTTTCCTTCAGCTTGAAAGGCCTCAGCTGAAGCTCTCAAATCCCTCTTCACTAGGTAATCATGGATATAAACATCTAACCTGAAAATCACATAGAGCAAGCATACACAAGTTGAACTATGAGAACCAAAGTTTGGATCTTTACATCAAGTATATCACAGAACAGATGACAAAAGGCATTCATGAAGTTTAATAACCACAAGTGACACCTTCATTCAATGTAAAGAAACCCCTAAAACCCTAACACGCCCATCAAAACATTCTCACACATTCATAGAATGTCAAAACACATAGAACCAAACTAAGGGAAATAAACCAACCCCAAATCAACCCCAACAGCAGAAAGAAACCCCAAAGCCAAATCAACCATAGAAGGCTAAAAAATTGAGAATGAACAAAAACCCATTTTGCAAAACAGATAGAAACACCATAAAAAGTTGAAAAAAATAATTGAAAAAAAAAAAAAACAACGACACTCACATCTTATCAGCTTCCCAGTTAGTCTGAGACATGCTGACGCAATAATAATGATGGGTAATGAGAGAACGAATGAATTTGCTAAATGTTTATGAAACTGAACAGTTGCAATTGCAAAGGAAACGAGCTTTTGGTGCAGCAGAGAGAAACAGAAGCAATGAACAGAAAAAAAGGGACTGTAGAAAGCTCAGACGCGAGGGAGGCACAGCACAAAAGGAAATAACGGAGACGATTTGGGAACAAAAATCTAAGGGTAAAGAACAGACGCGACGCTTCAAAGTCTTTCCACATAATAATAATAATAATAATAATAAGGTGAGATAAGACGAAGACCAAGCAGAAGAATTATTTTAAATTTCAAAAACTAAATTATTGAAAAGGCTTCAACGTTTAATGCTAAAATTAAATTAACAAGATATATTTTAATTTAAACTTATCTTAAAATACCTTCTTTTAAAATTATTGAAGCCCCTTTGTTTAAGATTTTTATCACGAAATAAAAGCACTTTACAAAAAATACTTTTCATTTTTTTAGAATGTTTGGTTAAGATTATTAAAAAAAATTAAAAGTTACAAATAATCTGATTTTAACTTTACAAAAACCTATTTTGAATAGCTTCTGGAAAAAAAAAAACTATGACTACTTACTAAAAAAAAACTTTTTAATTATAATAAAATAAAAAATAACTTTTAATTTTTATAAATTTCTAAAAGTAAATCACTTTTTATACATCTTAAAAATACTGTTTTAGAAGTTGAAACAAACAAGCTCATAATTATAATATATTAACGAATGATTAGTTCATGTGGTAAATATTTAATTATTTAAAATAAAATTAATTTCACAGTGTTATAAATATTTTTTACCCAAATAAAATTATTTTATTATTAAAAATGTAAAATTGACTCATACAATATATTATATATTTACGTACGTCAATATTTGTAGACCTAAATCAGGGTCCATAAAATTATTTATAAATTTTCGTTTAAAAATATTTTTTTATGCTGGTATTATTTATTATCTAAAGAATAATTTTCACACAACTGTATGTAAAATAAAATAGCATGTATATTGAAAGAAAAAGTGTATAAACTTTGTTAAAAGTGAATGGATTTTCTTATCCTTTATTTACTATTTATTTCTTATATTTAAAATTAGTGTTTGTACTTGTATGATATAAGAATAGTTTACAATATAAATTATTTTTTAAAAATTAATATTTTAATTATAATATATACATAAATCAATTAAATAATTAAAATAATTATATTAAAGAAACTGTCATGTGACAGCTTAAACAAAATTATATACAAACGAGGAAAAAGAAACGAATACAGTGATTGGTGGAGATGCTTTTCTATGCAAAATTGAATTGAAATGTTGTTTGTGAGCTTTTTTTTATTTTATTCTTTCCACTTTTCCATGAAATGTTCTGGAAATTATTTTCAAGGGGCTTTGGTGAATGAAGGTGTTGTTGCAGATGGGTGCAGATATGTCATAATGGCACTTTTACCTAATTTGCAAATTCATCCCTTGTTTTATGCCAAATTCAGAGGCAAGCAATTAGCTTAGGATAATGTTTTATCTTAAATGACGGAAATGCCCCGACTTAATTAATACTTTTCAAATTGCCCCAATACAACAAAGGTGAAAGGTGAGAGAGATGAAGTGATATGAAATATATTGAAATATAACAGTGTAAAGATTCTATTTTATTATTTAAATGTATTGTGATAAAATGAAATAGTTTTCTTTTATTATTTGGATAGAATAACGTATAATAGTTTTGTTTTAAAAACATGTATTTTTAATTTAATTTTTATATTTATTATAATTTTAGTAAATTATTATTATCAAATAATAATAATTGTATATCAAGTAAATTAAAATCCTCTGCAAAAATAAAAATAAGGAATTGCTTTTTGTATTTTTATTATTTACTTTCCACACCTCTTCTTTTTTTTTTTTGCTTTAATTTAAATAAGACTAAATTAGAAGATCAATCTATTACCTCTTATGTTTGCATGTATGTATAAGTTTCATATGTTTTAAAACTATCCTAAGTTAGTACTTTTATTAAGTACACAAATATTGTTATTAACATTTAAATTTTAATTACTATTAATGATATTAGTTTTAACTATGTGATATCTAACTTTGTAATATAATAAATATTTGACCTTACAATAACTAAATTGGAATTTTAAATGTAAAGTAAAATTAAATTTTAAGTTCTTATATATATATATATATATATATATATATATATATATATTACTTAAAGTGATAACTTTTAAGAGTTTCTTGAACATTAGTAAGGCATAGTGACCAATTTGTTGTTATGGGCTTCAAGCTATTTGTTATAATGCAACAAAAGTCACTAACTAACGACATAGATTTTGGAGTTGCTAAAATTAGAGAGTAAGCATGGCAATAATAACCACTACTAAAGAAATTCTTATTAATGACTTTTTTTGTAGTTTTCTTTCAATAATATATTTGTTATTTGTATGACTTTTTTAACTAAGTAAGAGTTATGGTTTCTTTCAATAGATGGTAGAAGATGAAGAAGATAAAAGAGAAATTATTTTTATACAAAAAAGGAAAAGAATTTTGGTACTTCAGAGGTTGATGGTGTATACAAGAAGATTGAACAAGATTTTGATTTGTATTTAGATATTTATTATCATATTTAATGATAAGTTTTTTTTTTGTGGGGGACTTTAGTAGCATTAAGAGTGGTTGATCTTCAAAGTTGCAATGGTAATCAAATAAATTAGATATTTAATAAATGCAGTATCTTATAAAACTTAGATCAAACTTCATAGAAGACTTTCATTTTTTACTACGATTACGAAAGACATATTTGAAGATTTTATCATGTAATAGTAATCAATTAATCAAAAGGTAAAACTAAAATTAAGCAAATTATATGCTAAGAAGATATTTGAATAGTTTATTCAATTGATGGCTGAGATGAATGAGTTGATATAGGCTAAGATGGTGAAGTAACCTTAGATGTACTTTTGTTATGACTTGCTAATTTATAGTTTTTACACTTAATGAAAAATTCTTTTTTGCTCAGTTTTGTTGCATTATTTGTCATTTATTCAAGCTCCTTATTTCTTACCATTTTAGGTTTTCTATGTTACTTTTGGTTGGAGGAGAGAATACACCAATTTATGAAGCTTCAACCCACATATTTAGGCCATTTATTAGATATATGATAAGCCTATACACTATTTCATAAGTCTCATTCCTACAATATGATAGGATGAAATCTTTTGAGTTGAAATTTATATGATTCATACATGTAATTACATGATAACATGGTATATCTGTGAGCATCCAATAGCTACAAGATCATTCATGATTGTTCAACCTCATAACAAACCTATCTCCTAAATAGTTAATATGTCTAACCTCAAAAAATTGGTCTCCAATTAATCTTTATAATTCATCATAATAAGTGAAAAAATACCATATTGAAACTACATTAATAGATAAATGACCAAAGTAAATTTTAAACAAAAGTTAAACGAAAGTTATAAAACATATTAAAAAGTTATAGGACCATTAACAAGTAAACAAATAAATGATATTATTTTCTTCTTATCTCGGTCCATCTCTCCACAAGGATACACCATTATTTCCTCTACTATGGCAATAATGGATTTTTCTCTTGGCTAAGAATAACACTATCAAAGGTTTTAGACATTATTCAACACAATATCATGTTTTGATTGAAATGTAAACTTAAAGCCACTTCAATATTTAGGTGGTATTTTTAGCATATGTTTATATGCTTCTTCATTGACCTTCCATATTTTCTTTATTCATTTCTCTCGTTTTCAAGGGCAAGTCACCAATGTTGTCTTTCACATTAATTCTTTGAGTTGCTTTTCAATAAACTTCTTTTTGAAATTGTTGCAAAAACATAATTAATTATTATTAGATAAATTATACCATAAACAAGCAACAACATAATAAATATTGGATATTATACCTTTTGTTAGTCTAATATAAATGTGTAGGGTTCGATTCCATTGGACCATCCCAATTCTCCAATTAAAACCTCTAAGAACTAATTCTAAGATTCTAATAGCAATAAGCAACATTTCATCATTATGATTCCTTCCAATAGCAGTTAGAAGTTGGTCTTCATAAAAACTTTTTAAGAAACAATCATCTAACCTAATAATTGTCCAACAATACAAGAAGCTCTTAATGTATGATGGAAGGCAATAAATAACCTTTGGAAGAATGACAACATTGGGGTAATAGGATTTTCTAATGTTGTTTCAATACCTTCGTAAGATTGCACTTTGAGCTTCACAATAGACCTTGGATTAACCTTTAATAGTTCATGACAATAACAATATCATTTCTTGTATTGTTCTTTGTAAGACCCATCAACAACCTCCAAAACTTTTTTTCTTAGCTCAATAAACTTTTTTGGTTACACCTATTTTTCATTTATGTTGTGCTTTGTCTTGAATATCCATTAACTTGATGCTTGAATTCTTTCTTACACTAGTTTATATTTTTTATTTTTTTGCTTAACCACTGTATACTAAGCATTCTAATTTGAAATTCCCTGCTACATGCATGAGTATCCACTAGCTTTCTTAATTGTCACATATCTTAATTGGGAAACTTACAATATAACACCAATCAATCTCATCTTTTCTTACAAACCACTTTCACTCTAATTTTGTCATTGTTTCAAAAATTGAGGTCTTTAACTAAATGAATGACATATGTAGTTATTACTTCTTTGAATTCTTTCTTGATTGCAAACATAATCTCCAATTTTCATTTATAATCTTCCATTCTCTTTGGTTGCCTTGATAAAGGATAACTTGACTTGCATCTACCTTCATCACTTGTCTTCTCAGACCTATACTTAACATTTGACAAGCCTTGATCTTGTATATCCACGCTAAAAGTAGGAATTTTAGTATGAACACTTATAGTCTTAGGGCCTAATCTTCCTTTTTTCTGTGGAGCTTTCACTTGTTACTTACCTTTTTGTTTTCTTGATTGCTATATGTTTGGTCTTCATTTTTATATTTTGTTTAGATCCTCCCTCTTCTGTCTTTGCATCTTGTGAAGAAAATCCAACATTTGCACCTTCTCCCTTGCCATTCTCTTCCTCTACTTTTTTAGTACCTCATTGACATTATCAAAGATGTCAATATCAAAATGTTCCTTATATGTATATTTATTGCACTATCATCACTTCATAGATTTTCTTCTTCCCCACCAACCTTTGTTCCATAAGTTTTTTCTTTTTTTGTGACATCAAGTTTCTAGTCCACCATCATTACCCATATTCACATTGCATCCTACCTCATTGCCATTTAATTGAGAACGTCTAACAATTTTGGTTTTGGTATAGGATGTTCTATATACATTTTAAGCTTTCTTAATCATTTTGCTACTCTTATAATTTTCAAAGTACCTTTTAAATCTCCATCTAAAGTTTGTCCACCTATTTTATACCAGATTCTCTCTATGATTGCATAATCCATGATCTTTATTTCATGCAAATACTCTTAATATGACCAATAATCTTCATCTACTTCCAAAAGCACTACTTTGTTACTCTCATTGGTAGTTTTTTTCTAATTCACAAAACAACCTCCATGGTGAACTTCAATAGTGAACTTAGCTTTGCCTTAATGCAAAAGTACATTCAAGTAAATAATCAACAATAGCTAAAATGTATAAAGACGCAATTTCAGAATAAAAATACAATGTGACAACCACACATGCAGAACTACCACCCTTTTTTCTAAAACTTCTTCTTTCAACACCTAAAATCATAATACAACAATGAAATACTCCCAAAACCAACAACAAACACAAAATAAACTCAATAATTTTGCATACCTTCAACAACACCAAGATTCTTGGATGAATGTTCTTAAAAAGTTTTACAAAATTCATTATGCATTTTGCTAATATACAATAATAAACTTTGCACTTTTTTCTTCTTTCAATACGTGTTTCTTCTATGGATTTGTGTGAGATAAGAAACATCGTTTTAAAAATAATCACATAATATTATCTTATTGCACATCTAATTTTACATCAACAAAGCTATTAGCATCATCAACAACAAAGTTAGTAACAATGTCAATTAAGTTTAAAAGAGAAGACTAACTTAGAATATATTTAAAACATACAAGATCTATATGATAAAAAAAAGTTAAAAAGAAAAAGAAAAACAAACACGTGTTAAAAGACTAATATACTAATTTAGTCTTTAAACAATTATCTTTATACATTAAAAATTCTCATCAGTTTAGCATTACATCTTTGTACGTGAGCATCACATAAAACCCATTATCTCACCTCCTCCACTTGCAACCATAATTAAATTGTTTAGACAACCCCAAGTGAAAAATATTAATAAAAGAAGTTAGCATTCTCAAATTAAGATAATTGATTAAATCAATTTGCATAACCATGGATAATTTGCATAACAATCAATGACATTCTTCTTCAGTGCACATGATCTTAATTAACATTTTAGTGTCAAGTTAGTGCATATTCATTAGTTTATAATTCATTGTCACATTAGTGTCTTTCTTGCATTCATGAAAGTTGAAAGTAGAAACTAAAACTCAGTGTACTTTTAAAATGCAAATTGAAGTCAAAATAAATGGTAATGAGAGCTATGAATCCCAAATTAAAAAGTAAAACTATAAGCGTTAATTGTAGGTGAAATTTTGGAGATTAACTTTCAATGAAGGATTAATTAAAGAAAATTTTAAAAAGAAAAGATAACATAAGGCTACTTTAGGAATAAAAAATACAAATAAAAAGATGGTAAAAATAGAAAAGATGGGGTGTAAAAAATAATTGCTTAAATAATATTATTTATGAAAATTCAAAAAGTCTTTTTAGCATACTAATTAAGGCTAAAAAAAATGATAGTACTGTCATACTAATTTTTTATGTACATCTAAGTTCATCTAACTAATTATTTTTAGATTTTCATTTAAAAATATGTATATAGTTAATTAATATATTTTATTTAAATTATATCAATCTAATTTTAGTTAGTTTATATTTAAATTTAAATATGATAGTCAATTTCAAATTAATAAAAAAAAACTTTTAAGAGTAAATAAATTAATTTTGTTGATTAAAAAAAGTCATTTGAATATTAATCAGTATAAACTACAAAATCATTTCAACAAATCTAATTTTTCATAAAATTTTTAAAAATATAAAAATATATCATTTTACATTTTTCTTTAGAAATGCTAAGTGTATGAAAAATTAAAATAAGATTTACATTTCAAAAATTCAAGAGAAAAAGACTATTATTTTTAAAAAGGAAAAGTTCGATGGTAAAAAATCTTTAATACTTTAAGGATATGAAAAATAATTTTTTCAATATCAATAGATAATATTTTAAATAAACAAAATCAAATGTTTATATATATATATATATATATATGTTTGTGTGTAGATAAATTTTTTATTCTAATATTTTATATTTACATGTTTGATTTAAAGTATTGTATAATTTTATACTAAAAAAAGATGTTCAGAAAATATGAACATACCTTATCAAGAGAATAATAGTAATAGCTGTAATCAAGTAAGGTGATAAACAACTGTGGATAGAAGTGCATAAACAATTTATGTAATTTATTTATAATGTAAAATTTATAATAATGAAAAGATAGTAAAGATAAAATAGTAATGTTATAATTTTGTTAAAATTCAAATTTTTATGCTATAAAGGTTTAGAATTACTTTATTTGCTCTGATATGTGGGCCTGATTTTTCTCTGCTGGTATCTTAGACGACTCTATAGAAATTTATCTAGTCCTAAGTTGAATAATCACTTCAATTGGTTTAAACTTTTTGACTTTATTACTTGACATTTATGGAAAGATAGAAATAATTTTGTCTTTAATAATTGCTCTATTCAGGTCTCTGTGTTGGTTAGACAAATAATTTAGAATAATGAGTTTTTTGATTTTCTTAGCATGAATCCTCATCTTTCCCTTCCCAAGTTAGCCATGGATCAAGCTAGGATAAAATGGGTTCCTCCATGAAGGACCAGCTCAAATTAAATATTGATGGTTCTGTTTGCCTTAATATGTCTGCTACTGCGTGTGGAGGTATCCTCAGAGATTGGAAAGGAAATATTGTTGCTGGCTTCTACTGCTCGCTGCCTCCTTGCTCCCCTCTTGAAGCGGAACTCTGAGGACTTGTCTATTATACTCAGTTAATTCTGCAATATGCTAGCCTGACCTTTTGTTGGATAAAGACTTATTCACATGATGTCCTATACTGCTTTTAGCATGTTCAATCCCCTTCCCACCCCCTATTCCATGTTATTTGTAAGATAAGAGATCATCTTAAGTATGTAAAGTCTATTAAGTTAGGTCATATATTTAGGAAGGCCAATCATTGTGCAGATTTGTTAGCCAAAGTTGGTCTGGAGTTTCCTTCCTTTTTAGTTTGCTACTGATGCTTATTGTAGGTTGCTCCCTTCCTTATGCCTTGATTGGTGTGGTTGTTGGACTCTTAGATCCACTCATTAGTTTGTTTTATTGTTTGGGCTGTTAGCCCCCTTTCTTAGCAAAAAAAATTCAAATTTTTAGTTTCATCTCATTCTTCAATAATTAGAATAAACACAGAATAAAAGTAATGGAATAGAATGAAATGAGTTTCATAACCAGATATGATGGAATAAGATACCTTCATGTATTCCTCTCTATTCTATTATATAAATTTGAGATTTGAGTTAATAAATAAATAAATATATAAAGTAAAATTTTAAGAGATACATGTATTATCAATTCCAAATAAGAAAATCTTATAATTATAATTGATTTTAATCAGTAGTAGATAGTTTTTTCATTTTACATATTTGCTTGTTGTAAGGAAATTAAATTCATAAATTAACCTCCATTAATTCATATAATTTACATGAGAAATTAGGGAAGGAAGGGGTAAGTTTGCCTGTATATGCATAGAAATTCAATGATCAAGAAGATCCTAAACTGTATTATAGAGACAAGTTGATGCATGCAAATGGTCCCAAAAATGCATGCCTTAATTGCTGACCACTACCTACTTTTTCGAGGGTGGCGAATGATGTTTGACCCTGCTAATAAAAAATGTTCAAAGAATTGCTATTTGGATTAGAATCATGGGTCTTCCAGTTGAGTTGTATAATGATAAACTTCTATGTAGGCTTCAATTACTTGAAAATATTCTTTTATATTCTCTAATTAATAGTATTACGATCTATAGGATTTGTCGGAGATCCTTCTTTTTTCCTTTCCCCGATAAATATTCTCCGATCTGATAACAAACAAATTATCAAATGCTTTAATCAAATTAAGGGAAGATGACATTTTTAACAATTAAATCAAAGAAAATGGTTTGTTTTTGTCTCTGGAGTATATTCCTGAGTAAAAAACAAAAGAGATGATTGTACCAAACTATGGCCATAGAAGTTTTATTAAGGGCGAAGCCTCAGAAATGAGCTCATGAGAAAATGAAATTGGCATGGATTGAAGAGCATATTATATACATCATGACTAACTGAGCTTCTTTAGTCGTAGTAGAACGGAGCATCAAACCTTAATCCTAACCAGAAAAATAGAAAAAAGCGATTTACATGAATTGGTAATCCAAAAGAAGCCTTCAATCATCTGCAACATGCAGATTATACATTCGTGCCAAACGATGGGCAGTTCTATCAGCCATAATGCCTTCTATCATCTTGAACTTTTTGTAATGCACTTCAAGCGTCTCTTCCTGCTGCTTCGCAAGCTTCTCTTCTTCCTTCAGTTGCAGCTATACAAAAGTAAAAAGCTCAGACACACTGTAGAATCATATAGAATCTCTCACAGTATTCATCAAATATATTTATAATGGTTAGCAAGCCAGTTTTGAGCATCATTTGACAGGAGAATTGGGGACTAGACATTCATTTAGTCAAGATGGTCTTTCATACTAATAAAAGAGTGCTCCAAGCCACCACTACAAGTAAGCTAGAACTGCTGGGTTTAGATAGATTGCAAGAGGTCACAAGTTCAAACCTGAATCCTATCATGTAAGAAAACAAAAATGAAACGTATGCTCTTCAGACAAGAACAAAAAACGGATATGCTTTCACTTCAATTTTAGCACATCGACATTCAATTTTCAAACAGTAGAATACTTCTATAAACTATAGAGTGAACTTTGCTATGGTGTATGAGACCTTCTATTTGAAGTACAATAGGATATATTGTGCCCCACATGCGGCACGGTTGTTTCCAAGATTCAAACCTATAAAACCTCCAAGTCATAAGAGAGTAATCTTACCACGCCAAGTATTGCTCTCGATCTAAATTCACTAAAAATTCAGAAGTATATACAAATTGGGAAGTTGCTTAGCTCAAAACATTCAGGGGTGTTACTACAAATTGGGAAACCGTCATGACCATTTTTTTTGTCAAGATTGCGATAAAAAATGTAAGATTTGCATGATCTTGCAATCTACAGAGGGCACTCACAATCTTTATGGCTAGTAGGATTGTTACTTTGGCCGGATTGTAGTGAATTGAGATCTTTTTTGACAGGATTGTAGGATCTACAATTAGATTTGATGTTTTTCATGGAAGTGGTTTTCTAATCAGATTTTTTTGACCTAGTTTGTTAAGAAACCCATTTTCCATTATTTTTTGTGTAAATCTTTAGGGCTTGTGCAATACCGAGGCCAAAACAGTTTCTCACCTTCCATGTTTCAAAATCAACCTCCTCACCTCAATGCATTTCATGCTCTACAAGTGGGTTTCTCCATTCTACACATCTCTTTGGCATTAGTCGTTACTGCTCTCTATGACTATACTGCTGGGTGCTTTTTGAGAGAGTGGAACTATTTCCTGTTCAGTTCTGTTGTGCGTTTTGTTTATGACTGAGTGTTGTGTGGTTGCTCTCTGCAACTGCATACTCTCCATTCAGTATTGTGTTCTACTTCTTTGTATTCTACAAGTTTTTTGTGGCCGGGCTCATGACTTTCAATACCAATGATACTAGGACTGAAGTTGGTGGTAGTGAGAAGGGAAGGAGATGGGTTCAAGTTGAGTTGCAATGAGAATGGGGTTTTTAATGGGTATGGGAGATATAAATCAAACAAGAGTGCTGCTGGGAACAACGAATGATGTGCCTTGGAATAATGTTGTCACTATTTTCGGAGATGATAAAAAAATTAAATATAAATATTGTAAAAATGAATATATTGGAGGGATTTATTGCTTTAAACATCATTTAACAGGAACTAAGCAAAGTGTATGACCTTACATGACTGTCCTTAATGACGTTTGAAAGCAAATATGGGATATTATCATTGTGTTGGTAGAAAAACTCCTATAATAAACAAACACAACAAAAGTATGAAGGAGTGTCGGCAGGAAATAACATTGGTGAATTTGTAGATGTGGAAAAAGAAAAGTATAACAAGCTCGTGTTGAGACTCCTACAATCATTTACCCAACCTACAATCAACTCAATTTTTAAGCAAAGTTTGAAAGAGAATGTTTTCCCAGACATTGTTTCAGTTTTGTGTAACAATGCAATATACCTTTCACAGCTATCAAGAGTGAAGAGTTTCAAAAGTTGTGTTATGATAGATTGACATAATATTAGATATAAGCTACCATCATATCATGAGATTCCAGTAAAATATTTGACGTAAAAAGTTGAGGGGGCAAACAAGATTTTGAAAATGCACAAAGCTTCTTGGAATGAAACAAGATGCACTACAATGAGTAATGACTGATGAGTGGATTGACAAGAGGAGGGCTATACTCAATTCTTTTATAAATAGTCTTATAAGAACTAAGTTTTTAAAGTGTACTGATGCATTTACATATGCAAGATAACTAACAAAATTTTCAAGATGATGGATAAGGTTGTTGAAGTTAGAGTGGAAAATGTGAAACAAATTATCAATTTATCACAGATAATGTTGTAAATTAAAAGGCAACAAGAGAAAAATGTTGATGAGCAGAGGAAAAAACTTTACTGAACACCTTTTGTAGCGAATTGCATTGACCCTATGCTAGAAGATTTTGAGAAGATATTATATAAAGAAATTCTTGCAAGTGAAAGGACAAGTCTTATATTTTTACAGCATTACTTCACTAAATGAACTAATTTTGATTGGAGCTGTTATTACAAGTTATGCAACTTCTTACTTGACTTGAGAGTGTCTGAATGAAAATAAGGGATCATTGTTGATAATATTTACATCTAAAGAATGAAAAAAATAAAAAGTTTGCAAAAAATAAGGATGAAAAAGTTGTTAAAAATCTAGTTACAAATAAGAGATTTTGAAAAAATATCATGAATTGCCTAAGGGATGTTTATCTGTTTATTAGATTGTTGTGCTTGGTGGATTTAGAAGACAAGTCAACCAAGCAATTTATTTATGAGGAAATGGACCAGGGTAAGGAGAAGATTCAAACCAACTTCAATGATGTTAGAGAGAAAATGTGAAAAATTAGTTCAATTTTATAATTTATAATCTTAGTTTGGACACTAATTCTTTTTTTTTTTCATTTGTTAGTTTCATGCATCCAAGGGGGATAATTGATGAGAGATGGAGCAACCAATTGCATAGACTTTTGCATGTTGCAAACTTCTACCTTAACTTGATGTTACACTATGAGTTTTAAAGCTGATTTTGAAGTTAAGTCCCACATTTGCTTTCAAACATCATTGACAACAGCCATGCAAGCACTGATTTTTTACTTAGTTTAGTATATACACCCTCATATTATTTACATTTAATTTTTCTCACATCCCAAACAATAGAGACACCATGATTCTAGGCCACATCCTTGTCCCAATAACATTTTTGTTTGGTTTAGATCTTCCATTGGCAATCCCACTCATTGCAAATCCACTTGAACTAACTTTCTTCCCCTTCCCAATACCACCAACCTCAGTCCTAGTAGCCTTGGAAACCATGAGCCTAACCACAAAAATATTGCAGTATGCAGAGAACACAAAAGGGAGGACACAGTCATGAACAAAAACAACACAAATGTAGACAGCAACCACACCCACAGCATGCAATTCCAGAGATCAGAGAGCAGCAAGTAGGCAACAACCATGAACATAACCAATGGCAGAGAGAAGAGAATATCAGAGATCCAAGCACCAGCACCAAGGTACCATGAAGCTCATTTTGGGTTGCAAGGAGCCAAGAGCCACACCCACACAGAGAGCATGGAGCACCAAAGAGAACCAGCAAGCAGAGGTCACAGAAAACCCACACAAAGAGCAGCACAAAGGTTGTTTCAAAATAGAAAAAGGATGAGAGAAAACAATGTGACCTAGGCTAGAAGGTGTCATTGCACAAGAATAAAGGATATGAAATTGAAAAACAGGTCAAAAACTATGTTGGAAATGGGTTTTTTAAATTGGATCACCAAAACCAGACCCGTGAAGATCAAATTGAATCTGCAATCTTGTGATCTGAAGGAGAAAGACCGCAATCCTAAAGCTTTATGATCGTGCATGTTATTAAGATTGCAGAGTGGTGAAAAGATCATAGGATAGTATGATCTTGCAATCAAGATTGCAATTTTGACAACATTGCCCTTGTGCTTGATAAACTCTTCCAAGGTGAAACTAGAATGGAGGTAGTACAAATAGAGACAATTGAAGTATCAGTTGTTGAAAGCCCAACAGAGAATGAAGAATCAAGCTGACAAAAGGAGGCAAGAAAGGAGTTTTGAAGTAGGAGAATGGGTTTTTTTAGGTTAAGGCCTCACAGGCAGGCTTCTATCATATTAGGATACATCCCAAATTATCAAGGTATCATTGCCCTTTCCAAGTATTGAAATGTGTTGGGGTAGTGGCCTATAAACTTAAGCTGCCTGAGTCCTCCATAATTCATCAGGTGTTTCATGTGTCCTTACTCAACAAAGCAAATAGGAAACTACAGGGTTGAGGAGGAACTGCCTCAAGGCACCGATGGGGAAGACACCAATATATCAGAACCTGCTACTGTGTTACTGTTAGCTACCAGAACTGTGACCCAAGGAAGAGAAAATATCCATCAAGTACTAAATACAGTGGAAAGGGAATCCAGCTGAGGGAACCAAGTTGGAAGGAGTTCACTATTCGCAGCCAAAACCCTAAGTTCAGTCTTAAAGACAAGACTGAAATTGGAGGAGGCAATAATAGAGCCCAGAACGAAGATTCAAGCCCAAGGGGACAGCTGATTCACCAAATGATGCATGGGCCAAAAGTGTTGAAGGTCCATACTAGGAATAATAGAATAGAAAGGAGTAGAAAAGGAATGTGAGAGTGAGTTGGCAGCAGGAAAATGTGAAGGCTAGTGTGCCACAGACTTCCATATTTTGGGTGTCAAATAGGGTCTACGGGGAGAGGGACTATCTTTTCAAAGATAATCATTTAAGTTGTTATGAATGGAGAGCCATAGCTCTCTGTAGGGGCGTTGCTCTGGTAGTTTGAATTCTTTTCCATTGTAATTCGTTTCATTCTGTTTTCAAACATACATCAGTTTCTGTTTCATTATTGTTCAGCCACTTGTATTGATACCAGTTTCATATCACATATTTAGGGTGTTTTGCAGCAAAGCAGCCTCATAGTTGGGCCATGTAGATTACATGGGTTGAATTGTAGTATAACACCATTTTTCACATCTCTAATACTACTACAGCTTTTGAACCTTAAACCCACCCACAGTTCTGAAATTTACACAAGAAGAAATTCCATGTGACTAAGGTGCAAGCTAAAACGAAGAAAAGCAGCAGATAAGCATAGAATGAATATCAACTTTGAGGTTGGAGAATGGGTCTTTCTAACATTAAGACCTCAGGCAGCAAACAGTAGCAAGAAGGATTGATCAAAAGCAAGCTCCCCAGTTTATGGCCCATTTGAAATTATAGTTAAAGTTGGAGGAGTTTCTTACAAATTATAGTTGCCAGAGTAATCCAAAATTCACTGTCTTTCATACACTACAACTAAAAAAGGTCACTGGAAACAAACCGGTCAATCCTATTTTGCCTGAAGGTATGGATGCAGAAATGAGAGATATTGTAGAAACCAGTCCAGGTGTTAGGTGTAAGGAAAGAAAAGAGACATGGGAAATACATCACTACAAGGTTAATACAGTAGAAAGCCAAATAAATAGAGGAAGCTACTTGGGAAGATGATTTTATCATGAGAAGCCTATTTCCTGTATTCAGTATTGGGGATAAGACTGATACTGAAGGAGGGGGCAGTGATAAAGCCTGCAAGTAGAAGGGCCAGCAGGTGGGCCAGTTGTTGAGATGACACAAACAAGGCCTAAAGATTTGGAGTTACTCCAGAAATAGAATGACACATGGCAATCAGCAGAAAGAACAGGCAGTTATGCACAGTGGAGAATTGGTTGTAGTAGAGGAAATCATAAAGGGGGATTGCATGGGAGAATGTGGACAGCAAGGTGAATTTTGAGTGAAATGGCCTGGGGCTCAGGACCTACAGTTGTAGGAGCTGAGAGGTATTGTCCTTGTGATTTCTAGGTTTCTAAATACTTGGTTATCTTCTTTATTTTGGGTGTTCTGGTTTGGGTGGGTCTCTATTGTTTGCTACTGCAAACTGCTCTTCTGGTACAGAAAAATGCTAAATCAAATTCAACAATTTTATTCAAGTACAATTTAGTGTTTGACACAGGTATGCATTTAACTGTACACCAGAAACTTACATGAACATTAGGGATAAAACAAGCAAATAAAATTCGTTTGAAAGGAGATATTCCTAACATATAACTCTGCAAATTGCAAAGTTGTAATAGTAATAAAGCGATAAAAATTAATTGGGTGCCAGGAATGAACTTACTTTGTGCAGGAAATCTATTTCTGCAGCATGTTTGCGTGTAAGATTCTTTAGTTCCTTTGCCACCTCAAAATCAGGATCACTTGGATCCAACCACCGGCATATTATCTTTCTGTTAGGCTTCCTTGGCCGATCATCAAACATCTCCATCACAGCATGCTGAGCCCTTACAGGCCGTGGCATCCCAGACATCATAAAAGGATACTGCCCTATCATTGATATAACTTCCTTGGCCTTCTTGGTCGATTCAAATTCTACTAATGCACATTGTGGCAGATTGCTTGGTCCAATGTAGTTGGGAATAAATTTGACACTTTTCACAGTTGCAAACTGGTCAAGAGCAGTTCTAATCACAGATTCAGTGACCTGTGGTGACAGGTTGTCAAAGTATACTGTCCTACTAACTTTCAGTTTGAATGCAGCATACTCTTCTGCTGATGACTCCATGCAATAAAGTGAATGACACCTAAGAGCAACAAATTTCAAATTTAGGATAAATAAATAGGTATACAATCTCTATAGAAAACGCATGACATAAATATGAAAAAGTAAAGAATCAGTTCCCCACTCAGACACCAGAATGATTTCCTTTTTATTCCATGAAAAAAGTCATTAACAACGTAAGTTACTTCAAAAAGTGCTGAGGGCTTTAAGTTCTTCAACAGATAATTAGTTGAATTAATTGGCCAATTTATAAGGTGAAAAACAACATAATTTCTCTAAAATGCAAAGCATAATCATATATTTTGGCTTATACAAGTACAGAACCAGATTAATATTATTTTCTTCAGAATTTACGTTAACTTAATCATACTACAACTATAACAACAACAAAAGTCTTATCCCGATAGTTGATAGAAACTGGTTCAGATACTGAAGAAAGACTGTCTTTATTAACATAAACGGCAGTAACCCCCCCCCCCTCCCCACACACACACAACATCCCTTCTACATATTTATTTACAGACAGCAGGTCCAATTAACAGGCTAACTAAGATATCGTAACTTTGTAACCATTAATCGGGGTTTCCTAACACAAGGAAGGAGGAGGAGGAGGAGGAAGAAAAATATGAGGCAAAGGAGGTACCTAGTGCTGGTACACAACCAAGGAGAGAAAAAGACACGAACCAGAGGAATACACATGAGAGAAAAGAGAAAAAAAATGGTACTTTTCAATTTCATTAATATTACAAGATTGCCATCACCCGTTCCACATTTTTGTTTTCACAATTTGGACAAGAAACACTAGAAATTTATTTTTCTTATCTTCAGTTTTATGCTATATTTTGAAAATATTTGCAAAGAAAATGTTTTAAAAAATACAACTACACACATTTTCATTATTATTTTCTATTTTTAATGAAAATGAAAACAGGAAATATGCAAAGCAAACAGTCCCTTAATGTTGTAGTTTTAGAGAGGAATTATGACTCAGAGTCAATAAATGACTCCATAGAAAGTCAATGTTTATAGAGTGAATAGATGCCAATGGACAATTAAATGCAAAATTTAGCAAATGAAAAATAAACTTTTCAATGCTTCTCAACTTTAGTTCATTTATATGTCAATAATGTGTGTAGTAGATTTTAAAACAAAAAACAAAACTTTATTTCGAAACATCAAATGAAACTGAGTAACAAAAAATAAAGACGCAGGGGTTATCAAACCACAACCTATCTACAACAGCTTCTACCCAGTCTATGTGCAGATAAATTGCTATTCTACAGATAAGAGAAAATTGGTTGGGATTCCAATATCTGGAAGTGTTTGGTATAGCTTTATTAGCTAAACAAGGTTGGAAATTACTAAAGAATCCAGAGTCTTTGGAAGGCAGAGTTCTGAAAGATAAATATTTCCCCATTGATCTTTTCTGGAGGCTCAGGGAAACAATCCTAGCTTTACTTGGAGGAGTATACTAGCTGGAAGAGATGTACTGAAAAAGGTATCAGATGGAGACTTGGGAATGGTATGCAGGCTAATATGTGGAAAGATCCTTGGCTTGTCTCCCTAGGAAATGGGAGTTTAACCCAGTGACTCCAAATTTATTTTTTTTTGTGAATCTCACCTCCTGGTTTTGGCTTTTTGAGTTAATAAATGAGTTATTTTCTCCAATAGACAATGATATTATCTTCGGTATTCCTATTAACAATTTGCATGAGAATATGGAAATACTTGGCACTATCATCCAAAAGGTGTATTTACAGTTAAAAGTGCATATTATTTGAAGATGGATTGAAAATTAAATCACTCAATAGGAGGATCAAGATCTTCTTCTAGAGGCAACACTGATATGTACTTAGCAGATTTAAATTAGGTAGAAGCCTCTAATTTCAAGATTAATACCTACGGTACCAAGCAGCTTACCATTAAGGCTCAATCAATGATATTGCTACGTTAACTACATGATATATTCATATACAAATTTGAAGGCATTTAAGTAATATTTCTGCAATCTTTCTACTTACATAGCTACACACACTCGGTTGCCTTGACAATTTGCAAGCATGTCTACTTGAATATATGCATCATATAGAAATTCTCTTACACACAGGTTATGTATATTGATACCAAGTGTCCCTACCACCAACATGAGCCTATTGATCATAACTACAGAAATAGATATTGTATATATAACTTAGTGTTATAGTTATCCTTCTTTAATGTAGGTCATATCTAGTCTATTTTCATAAATCATAACTAGGACTAAAGGTGTACAGTGATATAAACACATTCGGTAAAAGGGTTCTCTCAAGATCCTTATCTATATAGTAACAACCAAGGGTTCACATAAAGAACTAATATTGGGTCTGCAAGAAAAACAGTATCTAAGCATAATACTCTGAAGTCTGAAATGAGAAAACAAAACAAAAACAAGGAGGACTTATAATTGATTTAATAGCCTAATGCCTATAATTTTATTTACTGTGTGGCATATGACAGGACATTGGAAGCAGAAGCAAAACCTCATGATTGCATATGCATAGAGGAGCATGAACTATTATATAATGTTGGGAAAGAGTACCCTGTCAGCAAAAATATCTGTCTACGGAATCAGTTGAGATTTTTCATTCACAGTGCTCTGTAGTCTATTCACCTCTAAGTCAACCTGTGCTTGATCTGTAACATATTACATGGTCAGTAAAAAGAAGATAACAATCAAATGTTAATAGAAATCATTTTTTAATACAAGAACTTGACTCATTGCTAATTCTGTTACAGTCAAAGTTATATACCAGTAATTAGAAGCTAAAAAGGATCAGAAATCATGGTAACAGAATTTCACTTCAACTCACTTTATAAGATTAATACATAAGTTCAAAGAGTAATTTAGCTAATTGGAACAGAGCATTTCTTCTTCAGAATATTAACTTTCCTTGCTCAGCAAAAGAGCAAGAATGGAGATAATCGGTCTCATCGGGAACGTCGAAACTATAACGTAGGTGCATAATAATGATTATCCACGCTGAATCATTTTTACTAATACAAGCAAACAATAGAGTTCGGAATCAAAAAAGGAAAAGAATGAGCATATTGAACAGTAACATAACAGCTTACAGAACGAAATCCTGCAGAAAAATCAAAATCTTCAAAACGAAATCGAGTGAGATCCAAATACATTGAGTAATGAGTGAAAGAGTGGGAGATTTCCAAACAAAATCGAACTCTTACCCAATCAAATCGAAATATGAGAGTGCGAAGCAATTGATCCGAAAGAGTGAAGAAAAATCTGTGTTAGGGCATGGTGAGAGGCAACGAAGAAAAACGAAGGAAAACAACGGAGAACAGAAATTCTATGATGTCTGGTTCATTTTATAGTAATGCTAAATCTCTATATGGTTCGTACCAAATGGAAAATAGGTGGCAAAGAAATAAGTTGGAAAAAAATAGCAAAAAAGAAATTGATAAGAATGAAAAATAAAAAAGAATTTTGACATAGTTTAGAAAAATGGAAAATGAAATAAATAAATAATTCATACTAAAAATATTTTTATGCTAATAAATAGAAATATATATTAATTTAAAAAAATAAAACTTTCAATATTTATATTTTTGTATTATTTTTAAAACTAGCTCTATACATCTTTTCACACTACTCATACTTACTCTTTTCAATTTTTTAATGGTTAAAATTAATTTTTTTTATTTCAAAAATTTATTTAATAAAAAATAATGATAATAATTAGTAAAAATATCAAATCACAAATTAAATTCTTTTTTGTTTTATTTAATATATATATATTGTGTTTTTTTATAAATTTGTATAAGTTAGTGTATTATTTAATTTTTATTTTTTAAATTATTTATATGAAAATTTGGAGCAGAAAACTTAAAATTAAGATAATTAAAACTATACATAAAATAAAATATAAGAATTAAAAAATATGAAAAAATTGGTAAATTTCACATAATTTTATTTTATATTCATATACTAAACAAAACTTCTCAAATTTGTAAAAAATATTTTTTTTTTGTTATTTCATATCAATAAAAACAAAAGGTATGTAGCACAAATTATTTATAAATAAAAAAATTAATATTATTTAATATGTGTTATTAAAAAAATTGTATATTTTTATATTATGCACAATGTATATCTAAATTATTTTCGATTGAGATAAGATATAAGTTGAATTTAAACTCAGGTAATTCTTTTATTTTTAATCTAATTTAGGTATTTTTAGATAATTGTATAGTTTTACTTTCATACTTAAAGCTTTAATTGAATTAGTCATAATATAGCTTAATTTCACTAAGTTGCTCAATCACCATTTCCTATAATAAAATTAAGAAAAATTGCGTAAGTTTAAAGAATAAAACATTAATTATAATAAAAAATTAGATTAAATTGTCATAGATAAAATAGTCAAATAGCATTTTATCAAACTCCTAAAACTTAAGTATTATTTATTCTCTAACAATAAAGGTATAAAAATGAGAATGCATCAACTTTTATATAAAGGAAGTCAAGGATATTGACATGCAACAAACAATTTTATTTACTTTATAAAAATTGTTCATGTTAACAATCCAATAAGACTTATTTTTTTACCTGCAAAGTATTATAATGGACATGTAATAGTATTTAATAAGGTTGAGTGATAATTCACTTAGCCTTCTCTAAAATATATCTTGTTATATGCTTGCTCATAAACCTATAAATATCCTCTAATTTGACTAATTATCTCATGAATTAAAAAAGTCTTTACATTGTTGTAACATGACTAGGGTTTAAATACAAAGTTAAACTTGATATTAGAAAAGAAGAATACACAAAGGACCTAACTAATTTAAAAATCTTTTACAATACGAACAAACTTTAGTGACAGTGTGTTGTATTTCTCATTTCTATTTTTGCTTTATTAAACATATCTATTCTCAAATTCATTTATTCATTCAAAATTTTCATCATTCATAATTTTTTAAGGATTTTTTTGCCTTTATTTTATTTATGATCCTTTCACTGTCTCTCAGATTTTATAAGGGTACATGTAGAAAATATTACAATCAAAATGAGAATGCCAATAAAATATTTTTTCATTATTAAGCTCAAAAGAGTAAACTAATGGTAATTAAAATATGATATTTTAAACTCCTAATTGCCTTAATCATTTTTTGGTTAAACTAGTTTTTTTTTTTTGTCTCAATGAAGTTGTAGACCAAGTTTTAGAGTTTATGAAAATAAAGAAGTCACTCATAATAAAGAAAAAAAGAGTAAAACAATCATGTATGTGTTCAATTAGGTGTAATTAATCTAACATACACAAACTAAGTTAAAAAATTGTTTATTCCCATTTATCCTTAACACAAATTAATTAATGTTGTTGATAATAAAATAAGATTCCTAAATATTCAAGTTCATGCACTCTAAGAATAATCATATCCCAAAGAGAACATTAGAGTAAGCTTTTCATCACACATATATAATGAAATATTTAAATCTCCTTAAACTCATCCACTATTTTGTCCATAAATTAAAAAAAAAAATTGAAGAGTACTCCCAAGGTGTTGGAGTTTATAAATCCTTTCATCCTAAAGAAACCTAAAACATCCAAAAGCACATAATAGAAGTAGAAACAAAAAGACTTAATTATGTTTTTTGTCCCTATAAAGTTAATACATTTTGCAATAAGTCGTTATAATTTTTTTTTTTTGTTAGAATATAGTCCTAAAAATTTAAGAAATTAGAATTTAGTCACTGTCAGCAACTTCCTTTTGTTAAGTGTTGAGCTGAGTAGCAGACAGTCAACTTAGCACTTCTATGTGGCACCACGTGGCATACCACATCATTTTTTAAAATATTTTTCTTATTTAATATTATATATTTATAAATATGGTCATGAACATATTTTATATAATTATATAAAAGTTCCTCTGCCTTTTTCTTTCTTTTTCCCGCACTCCCTTCCTTCCCTTTGCCCACACTCTCTTCCAACATCCCCAACTTTTTTATTTCTTCTTCCCACACTCTCTCATATCCCTTTCCTTTCCCCATACCCCTTTTCAGCACTCCTTCCCTTTTGGGCAGCCCCACCTTCCCCTCCCAACCCCAACCCTTCTTCCAACCCAATCCCGTAACCCTATCCCAAACCTCTCTCCCTCCTTCAGCCCCATCCTAACCCTTTTCCCTTTTCAATCCAACCCATAACCCCACCTCAACCTAACCCTGCAACTTCTCTCCCTCTTCCAGCCCCACCTCGTTACCCTAACCCCTCAATAAAAAGATCGAGAACCATGAGTTTTCTTCTCTTACACTAATGGATTCTTTACGGTGTTAATTGAGCCTATTGAAGAAAAAGATGGTCAAGAAGTTTTGGGTTTGTGGCTATGGTGTGTCTTTTTGTTGTGGTGTTGTGTGTGACCTTTATTTGATTTTGCAAAAGCTTTTATGTTTATTGAAGCTAACTGTTATTAGAAATCTGGGACTGGGAGGAAAGGGAGAGAGTGGGAGAGGGAAGTGAGGTTGCAGGAAAGGGAAGAGAAAAAGGAAAACTTTTTTCTAACTTTTTAAAATATGTTAAGGGACTTGTTTGTAAATATTTATTTTAAATAATAAAATATATTAAAATTAAATGATATGGCATGTCATGTGTCAGTGCTAAGTTGGCTCTTGGTTAGCTAGCTTAACACTTAACATAAGGAGTTGAAGGCAAGGACTAAATTCTAATTTGAGGGACTATATTTTAACAAAAAAATTTATGAAGACTTATCACAAAATGTGCTAGCTTTATAAGGACCAAATACACAATTAAGCCAAAAAAAAAAAAAAACACAAACACCTAAGAGGGGGTGGCTATTGGCCCTGTTGGAAGCAAATATGGTCAACAATTGGGACTTGGTTGTGGCAAAGTGAAGCTTCTAAGCTTCCTTTATCGCTTGCTAAACTACTAAATGGTCTAGACAACCATAAACTTTGTCTAGATACAACTACAACTATTCAAACCTTGGTAGCATATCAAAGAGTATTGGTTGCTCTTCCTCTACATCCATGGGATAGTCTTGCTCCTCCTCTTGTCTCTTCTGCTTTGGTTGTTGCAGCAATGATCAAGATCAAGTAGGGCTAGTTGGTTCCTTCTAGATCAATCTTGTAACATCCTTACTATAATTCATTTCTATTAATAATATATAATATTTTTGAATAAACTTGATGAAATTCGTAAGGGGTTTGAATAACTTTGGAAGATTGTGCAAATATATGAATATAAAATAATGAAGGTCAGTAGATTTTAAAACTTTGTCTATATAAAAGTCTCATCCATTTTAAAAATAAAAATATGTTTCCTTAACTTAAATTTATAAATAAAATGAAGACAAAAATTTTGTATTATATATATAAATATATATATATATATATATATATATATATTTCAAGTTTATGATACAAACAATCTATTTTTCAGTAATGTAAATTTTTAACTAAGACTGGGTATGAATTAAAATTTAAACAGTTAACTATTAAATATTATACATAAACCTTAAATCATCATTTACAATAGGGTTCATCAAAATATCATAAGTTCTAAATAGAAACACAATTAATATGATTACATTCCTCAAAATAACAAATCCTGACAGAATATTTCTTTCCCATACAATCCATGACAAGTATGATTCTAGAATAGATCAACCTTCTTTATCTATTCATTTTCATTACCTAAAAAATATTAGTAAGGGTGAGCATCATCTGCCCCACTAACATTCATTTAATTAAAACAGTTCAAATAATAATAATAAATTATTATCTTATATAACATGCATCACAATGGAAATGATTCATAAAACAATTTTAATTTAATAAAGAATATTAACACACACCATTTATCACTTAATTGAATACATTATTTCTTCTTTATTCAATATAATCAATTTCTCATTTAATCAACACAATCATTCTACATACCCACGGTCACTTAAATCACTGCCAACATACTTTCTTAGTTACAATGGACTTATGTCAGTATGGATAGTTGCTGTCAGCCATCAAACATGGATACAATATGTGCTTTATTAGGCATTCATAATAAAGGTATAGTCAAGAAACTAGTCAGGAAATGAGTGTGAAACCTATGAATACTTTTGCTATCAATCATGTATATGTAAGCTATTAGCATTTATTACCCTCATTAAATTTAGAAATGCATGTCTTGTTGAATTTTAATTAGTTAAAGGAAAGTTGAGAATTGTTTTAAAGGTAAAGGTATTAGAACAAGGGAAAAATTGAATCTATAACATTATTTACCTTTTGAGAATTTAAAATTTTAGAATAATTATTATTGTGGAAATAATTACATTATGCTTACATATATTA